GTCGTTGGCCCAGTAAATAGCAGATGCCATAAAACGTGATGTCGAAGCTGGAAGATGTCGCTGGTGTTACTTTTTACGTTGTTTAAAAGTGGTTTTATAGGTCCCCTGTTTTACTTTATGTAGATTAGTACGGCCGCTAGAGCTATGTCTAGGGTATGATTATATTTCCTAATTAAGTACTCTAAACTAATCTCACTCCACACTCACTCTTACATTCAATGACACTCTCACTCGATCTCACTTCTATTTAATGCTATCATTATACTAAGAAACACAGGTGGTTCCGCCCACAAAGAAATATTTAATTATAAAACAAAATTGACTACACACATAAAGAAAAGTACTATGTATACAGTCTAATACTTAATGCAATCTGCGATTGATTAAGTTGCGATTGGCGATCTTGTCCTCTAAGCAGGTAAGGTCCCAACACACACTTACACAAAAGTCTTGTTGATTTGGCTTTCCTCTCTGGTCACTGGTCGGTCCCTGGTCACTCTAACTGTGACGTGGTAGGTGTAGACTCTAGCACTTTAACGGTCGGCACACACACACACGGCCTTCGGCGGAGTCTATGTTTACTCTCTGGGCCCTAACCTACATTTAGTTCATTTGAATAGGTTCTCAGCGCTAGTCTGATCCTAAACGACTGACTCCACTAACTGACCCAACTGTACTCTGAGTGGTCTATACTCTACGGCATACTATACCGACTCCACTATATTCATCTCAACTGTGACTAAACTCACCTCAGCTATACTGAGAATAAAGTCAAATGTACTAATTTTACTAACTGTACTAACTCTACCGGACTAAACTTACTCGAACTAAATATACTAACTGTATTAACTGTACTAACTGTGCAAACTGTACTAGCTTCGAACTGACTGGCTAGAAAGGAAAATAACGAAACAACGCATGAGACATAATTTAAGAATAAAATCACATCACACTATTAATAATTAATCATAATCTAACAGTAACTATAATCCTAACATTTCTTAATAAACGTACAGTGCTACAAACACACACAAAAAAAAATTAAAAATACTAACCTAGCAATTATAGATACACAAACTTCATCAAATAATTATGCTAGCCAGGCTCTGCTGACAAACTACAGGTGGAAGAGGACGATAAATGATTAGGGGGTGCTTTTATACTGAGTACAGGGCGCGTGCCCTGAATTATAGCGTCAGCGTCGGTACGCTTTGACCAGAATGAGTGCACTATTAATGCTGGGTCACGGTCAAGCGAACCAGGTGAATTTCCCCTTTTCATAGATAATGATATTTGTATGAATCTAAGGCCCAGCCTAATTATGCCTTTCGCGTGGGGTAGGGGTGGAGAGCGTGTGAGCCAGCGGGTTTTCAAAAGGTGAGGACCAGTGGGTCTCAACAGCGGGGAGATACATTTCGCTGGGAGCATACATTTGGCAGTCCGCCTTACATCTGGTGATAGGTGTGTTTTCACTGCCCTTTGGTTTCTTGATCAAGTGCTGGTTGGCTGTTTTCCGTCCTTGCGATGTTTGTAATCGTATGATGTTGACACACTTTACCACAAGGTAAACCTCGTCAATATTAAACAGCATTAATTTATACGAAAATGTTTGAAAAATGCATCATATTAACTTTCACAATTATTTCTATAAAAATTAATCCAGCTCCTCAAGATGGAAGTCTGCCACAGCCTCTAGATGGAGATCGCCCGCCTCCTCTTGACGGAGACCGTCCCCCACCTCGCGATGGAGACCGCCCCCCACCTCGTGATCCACCACCTCGTGATGGAGACCGCCCACCGCCTCGTGATGGAGACCGCCCCCCACCTCGTGATGGAGACCGCCCCCCACCTCGTGATGGAGACCGCCCCCCACCAAATGATGGAGACCGCCCCCCACCAAGTGATGGAGACCAACCACCACCAAGTGATGGAGACCAACCCCCACCAAGTGATGATGACCAACTCCAAGACGATGTCCCGCCTTCAGAACTTAATAGACGACAACTGCCACAACGTAATGGAAGCTCTCCACCACCTCGTGACGGCAGCCCACCCCCACCTCGTGACGGCAGCCCACCCCCACCGCGTGATGGAAGCCCACCGCCACCCCGTGCTGGTATTTCTCCTCCTCCTTTTGGAAGACGCCCACCACCAGGCCCCCCACGTCGCCAATAAAGCTGATCACTTTAAAATGTGTGCTCCTAATTAGATCACTGATATAGCTTTTCTAACAAACGTCTCCAACAAAAAAGGTTGAGACAAGAAGGCAAAGTTTGGTGTTTGAGAAAACATCATAAGAAGATCGACTTTTAAACCAAGAAATTCATGACTTGATTAAATAAAGCATTGTCTAGTAATTTTAAAACATTGAGTTAAAGAATGCCTTCATTTTTTTCTCTTTTCCTTTTACTATACACGTATAATTTGAACATTAGAAATCTATTTTGAAAAACAATATAATATTTTTTTTTTCTTTTAATTAACTTTGACTAAACGAACAAAACTAATGATATATATATATTTCACGGAGTTGTACTTTTTTAAAAGTTATGAACGCACAGGAGAAAGTTAAGGTCTTACTCATCTTTTTTTCATGGCTGAAATATTGTTTTTAAATTGTTATTTACTTTGTGTATTTGTGGGAAGGCTTAATTATTGCCTTTAAAACAAAAGAATGTCTTTCTCCATCTTTCGAACATACATTTAAGGGCCGAGGAAAACGGGTGTCTAAAGTTTTATAACGACAACAATACTGAAAACCCATAGATCTTTATTTTACCGATAATTTGTTGTAAGTGTTATCTATGCATTGGATAATTTAAAGTTAAAATATACTTATTTTAAGAACTGCCAAGCATCTCGCTTCAACTTTTCTCATCAATACCGCATTGAAAGTCCTTGCTTTTCAGTGAGGCGAAACCTTGTTTAATTCTTTAAAATAAATGGGAAAAGCATCAATTAAATGATATATTTATACACTGGTTTAATAAAGGAAAATATTTTACCTATCAGCAAGCGTAAGATTTGAATTTAAAAATCTCAGACATATATATGTTGTCACGTGTTAGCAAAATTGTTGTTTGCTTTAGATGGGGAATCAGTGTACTTGGAACCATGCGATACGAGAGTATATACAAACGCATATAGTCTGTGATACAGTTCGCACTTTAAAGATTTCTTATTTTAATAAGTAACTAAGTAAATTTGACCCAAAAAAAAGTAAATCATTTTTCGCACTCTAAACATATGACACTGAAGAAAGAATAATCAAGCAGTGTTTACATTACTGCTTAGATCTTTGCACAAAATCAACTTTTTTTTCTCTCACTAACACATTTAAATAGACAGTATTAAAGTAATTAAAAAAAGATGCTTGTAAGACGATAATTGACATAATTATAATAATCAAATTGATTTTACCCCCGTAACATTTCGAAACCCACGAAGGTTGATGACAAATTTCAGCGAAAAAGCTTCAACACATCACCTAATTACACTAGAAAACATATTGATGATATTGATCTCTCTACATTCACTGAAATGATGAGCATAGTGCCGAGTATCTCCATTATTATCTCGTATAGCGTCATAACAATCTCTGTAAAGAGTTTATATTGTAGTATATTCTAAACGCACTCACAGCAACTTCGCCGATGTGACGCACATGTAGAATTCACAAAAAGAGTTTTATTTTTTTATTATTTTTTTTTTCCTTTCAACTTATCTACAGCAGAGGCAAAAATATGGGGGGGGGGGGGGGCTAAGCGGGACAGATTTTCCCTGGCGCCAGTCATAAAAGAGGGGCAAATTTGGCTAGGGTGGCATTTTATTGATGGAATTACTGGGTTTCAGATTTGAGCGGGGCGTGAAAATGAATGTTGTCCCCGCCCACCAAACACTCTAATTGCACGTCTGTTTTCGTTTTACAACATTGATCGGCATTCCTTGATTATAGATCAATAATATTGGAATTTCATTATAAATTTGATAACGTAAGCTGGCCGTATTTTCCCTTATAAAAATGGTGTAAATAACTGACGAATCAATGGCAGCCACAATGCGTTCACCGCCAATACTTTAAAATTATTTTTAAAAACATGCATTTAGGAAAGGCACTTTATAAGAAGACATATTATTAGAGCTAATTCTAATGTTATTTTGCCCACCTATTTTTTCATTTTAATGTGGTTACTTTTTAAATCCTTTACATGAACGTCACCTTTGTGCGTGTGTTTCATTCTGTATGGGTTTGCAGCAAAATCTTCGGAAGGCTAATTGACCCCTCTTCCCGTCAACACATCCAGCTGAAATTTGAGACATAGACCCGATGTCAATGACAACACTTCCTATAAAATTTTCAGCCCCAATCTCAAACCGCAAAAACTCAGATTTGCCTTTGTTTTTTTTTCAAGGAGAATATGAAGGAAATATGAGGCAATATTTTCTTAAGAACTGTATTCATCGCTAAGTCGAATAAAAATTAATCAAAATAATTTATACGAAACATTTTGTTTTTAGGGATTATTTAATTGAATTACATGTATTTCGCTATGGAATTTTTATTATTGATGAATTTCTTGATGTGCATTTTAACGTATCAACTTTGACTAAATGAACAAAACTGAAATAACTGAGTTGCACCTATAGTATTTTTCACTTTATTTACATTACAAAGTAACGTTCTATAGGGCTCTTCCGTGTTATGTTTAAAGAGTACTAGAATAAACAAGAACTAATTGAAACACAAGAAAGATACAATGTCAAGTATGAAACAATCACAAGAATGATACCGTTTACATCATCTAAAAATAGATTTCCTAACGTCAGCTAAATTATTTACAGCATTAAAAATAAAGATTTTAGTAATCATTGATCATATAATAATTTCTTTAGTAGAGGTTAATAAGGTTATAAAAATAAAAATTCAATAATCTGTCATAATATATTATAACATTATTCCTTAAGACCATAAATATCTATCGACAGAATGAGCAGTGCTGTCTGAACCTGCTGTTATATTTGTAATATATAAATATATTGATGCCCGAATTAATGGTCTGGAAAAACTCCATGGCAGAGACTCCAATGAGGTAAATATTTTGTAAACTTTTTCCAAGTGTAAATTCGGATAACAACATTCAGAATATCATATAGATAATCTTAGGCATGTTACTTAAAATATACACCAATGAAATAAGGATTATCTGCTGGACAATAGACATTTCTTTATGGGACAATTTTACAGAATTAGATCTTTGAGAACTTCCCCTTCCTGATGATTTGAAATTTGATTTCTGGTCGTTGTTCACGTTACCGCTCCCATTCGAAGAATATCTTTTCGCATTTGTATCTTCAAAATTGTTCAGTCCATTGAGAGTAGAAGCCTGCCGGAACTGAATAGTGGCGCGGATACTTCTGGCCATTATTATTATGCATGCGATGACAATGGCTTCTGTGGCAAATGTGGCAGACACGTCTCGAGATATCCACACTACCTGTTTAACAAACTCTCGTTTCGGGGATATCCAAAGCAGGACGCGGGTGGCATTCACTTTAGGGTCAAACGCCTGGGCCAGGGACATGTAGACCAATACCGGGAGGTAGCTAGATGTGGCGAGAACACAGAAGACGATGCATGTCATGAAAGATGTTTTTCTGTTGAACATATGCTTAAATCTGAAAGGCGTGGCCACGCACAAACACCGGACAACGGCCAGCAGCGTTGTAATCATTATCGTCACGAAATAGATTAAGTTACCAATGTTCGCAAAAAATATGTAGATTCCAAAAGGTTCAATCCAGAACCAAGTCCCGTGAGAGGTTTTTTTCTCAATCACAAAAAGCTGAAGTGCAACAGAATGTATCGCCATGGTGATGAGATAGAGTAAGTCAGTGGTTGTTAGAAATAAAAACGAGAGCGTCACACCGTCCTTCAGTCCCATAGAGACAAAGACTTTGATGGCCGTCACGTTACCAAGACAGCCCATGAAGGCTAGAATGAGATTGGTTATGCTGAAGAAGTCACAAAATAGGACATAATTTTCATCAGACATAATTCTCTGACCCCCGATAGCATAGGAAGACACGGATGAATTGTCTTGAATTTCTCTAACGTTGCTTCCACTCATTATTCCACTAATATATTTTATCGAATTTAAAACTAAAGATATACATCAAAATTCAAAGACTTAGAAATCAATTTAAAACAATTCCTTAGCATCAAATGAAGCTTACAAATAATAGAATGGAGCCATACCCCAAAAAATGTATAAGATAATCGGGAAAATTTAAAGTATTTTTTAAAATGATTTAATATAAGTAAATTAACACAAACATTCACTTAGACCATGAGACTATTCTCAGTGTGCAATAAAATCCTTGTTTTTTTTTTAAATATATGTTTAAGTCCTACGTTTTTAATTCATTGCCTAGCTATCGAGTAGATGTAATGGTAGAATCACCATGTGCTTAACACTGCAATGTGAAATCAGTTGGCTATTTATTTCGCTTAAGACTGATACGACCCATTTTAGGAAGAAACCATCAGGACTTTATTTTTGTACAGCAAATGTTTAATTTTTGTTTGGACAACAAATCAGTGAAAACGTATCCTGGCCACAGAGAAGCTTTGTGTTCTTTTCACGAACCTGATTTTTTTTTTTTTTAAAGATGGCTGTTGCTTTCATGTGTACACCCCCCAGATTTGATTGATTTCAAGCGAAGTAAGATCGCGTTATAGAGAGCCCGCGATACTTTGGAATGAACGTGTTTGTACTAATCTTGTAAGTAAACAGCTGATTATGTAACTAAAAACCCTTACAGTTTTAATGATTTGTTTCATCGTAACCAAATATTCAGGTTTATTTTCGAAATTACAAGACAAATACAATTAAACTGAATCAGTGTTACTTATGTTTATCTTACAGACGACCCAAAAGTATATTCATTAAGGAAAGAAACACAAAAACTATATTAATTATATATTTTCATGATTTAAATGTTTTAACTAAATTTATCAATTTTTTTTTTTTTTTTTTAAATATTTTTTTAATTCAACCTACCCCTTTGATTTAATATAAATGGTCAAATGATTCCATTCAAAAGGGGGCACACCTGTCACTGTTTTTTTTATGATTTAAATGTTTTAACTAAATTTATCAATTTTTTTTTTTTTTTTTTAAATATTTTTTTAATCCAAGCTACGCCTTTGATTTAATATAAATGCTCAAATGATTCCATTCAAAAGGGGGCACACCTGTCACTGTTTCTAAATAGTTAACTGTCGACGGTTTACGTTTGAACATTGAAACTGTCGGTAGAATGTACTTCTATAGAAGGACTGTATTGTCCTGGCGATGTTAAAGAAGCAAGTATGTGTTTTCAAACAACCAGTAACTTTATTAATTGAATGGATGTTTTTTTTTACTTTCATAATCAAAATGAAGGTTTCTTAAAATGTTTTGGCTTTGTTGGTTTTAGAAAAAAAAAAAAAAAAAAATTATAAAAAAAAAAATAAAAAAAAAAAAATAAAAAAAAAAATTTAGTTATGTGTGATCGTATCACAAGTAAAGTGGGGGAACAATTAGCCTTTTAGCCTTGAGTGAGATCATAAATTAAGCATGCAAGTATTTAAATGAATAAAAAAAGACTTAAACAATAATCCTTACGGGTGAGTGAATTTTGACAAACGACGGCCAACACGTCTATCTACAATTTTCCTGATTAACTCTGCCAAAGATGTTTATAACTTTTTTTTCAATACTGCATTTCTAAAATGTATCGCCAATGGTGAACTCATATATTTTTTCATGTGTAAAATAAAATAAGCGATAAATAAATGAGTGAGTTAAGATACCTTGCCAGAGTGTACTTTTAGAGACATGTAGTACTCCTTGCTCTCATTTATACGAAGACGTATACAATTTAAAAAATCATCATGAAAAATGTATCACCGTAAATTTCGATTACATGGCGGAAAAAAAAAATTGGATTGATATTATTTTGAAGAATATTTTGTGTACATTAATATTGCATCTTAAAAAATAAATCAGTTGATCTAAAAATATCGTTCTACTCTACTTTCGTAATGTACAATACTTTCTAAACTTGGTGTTGAATTTGTAGTATATGAATATGTTGATACTCGAGCTGCAAGTCTGGAAAAACTCCATGGACGAGACTCCGACCAGGTAGAGGTTCTGATAACTCTTGCCGAGGGTGAACTCGGTATAGAAAAACGACACTATGACAAAAACTATTTTTGGAGCGTTACTTACAATGTACACCGTTGAGATTAGAACAACCTGTTTAACAACGGAGAGCTCTCTGTTGGACGTTTTGCTCAAGTTCTGCCTGACTTCTGACTTTGTCATCTTCTGTACATGTGGTATCGGCTTTGTGATCTCCTGTACATGTGGTATCGACTTTGTGATCTCCTGTACATGTGGTATCGACTTTTCAATGTCATCACCTTTCATTTGACGCCTTGCGTTCTTCTGTGATGTTTTCGTTGACGGTCCTTTTCTCGTGATGGATTCCGGCTTGTTTAAACCGTTGAGTGTTGACATCTGGCGGAACCTGGATGCAGCTCGGATTCTTCTTGCCATGACGATGACACAAACGATGACAACGACCTCGCTGGCGAAGGTGAAAGACACGTCCCTGGTGATCCAAACAGCGTGCTTACTCTCCTCCCTTTGGGGGGATATCCAAAGTACCGATCTCGTCGCGTTGACTCTCGGGTCGTACCCCGGGATCAAGGCCATGTACACAAGAACGGGCAGGTAGCTGGCCAGGCCAAGGACGCAAAAGACGAACGACGCGACGCTGGATGTCCCCCTGTTGAAAACGTTTTTAAATTTGAGCGGCATCGCAACGCACATGCAGCGAACGACTGCCAGCATTGTTGTTATCGTGATCGTTTCAAAGTAGATTAAGTTTGCAATGTTGGCAAAAACTATGTACACGCCGAACGGATCAACGTTGAACCATGTTCTGTACTGACTTTTCTTCTCGATCACAAAAAGCTGAAGAGCGACAGCGTGGGCGGCCATGACGACAAGATAAATTAAATCCGCCGTCACTAGGAACACGAAGGAAGTGGTGACGCCATCTCTTAGTCCCATTGAAATAAAGACTTTGATAGAAACCACATTTCCTACGCTACCCACGACGGATATTAGAAGGCATGCTATGCTAAAAATGTCACAAAATATGAGATAGTTTTTGTCTGAAAGGACTCTTTGAGCGTAGATGGCAGTAGACGAAAGTGTTGAATTTGAAATAAGAATCTCGAGTTCGGCTTTGTTCATGGTTGTGTTATGTTTTTGTTGAGCGCAAATGTTAAAAAATAATTGAGATATGAAAAATACAACGATAAATTTATGTTAAAAATTTACTTTTAAAATTTACTTGAAGGCATTTAAAAAAAAAAAAATTATGATAGTACCTTGTGCTTTTAAAATACAACAAATTTGTCTCATGAACGATGGGTAAGTGGAACGTAACAACAACGCAATGTCTTTTAATAATCACCATACCATTACAAAGCTGTTGCCATGTTTATATAGCCGGCACTCTACCAGCTTCACACAGAATAAAGACCAACGTTCATTAGCAAGAAATGATGCTATGTATTTCAACCCCGTGATCGTTTGTTTGGACTTGAATCCATTTGTTGTATTGATCCTGTCACAGTTTGAGTGGGAGAAGAATCTAAATATATTTCTTTTGGGAACCTTTTTATTCAATACATTAATGTGACAAAAGTTATTAAATAAGTGCTAATGTCGTCAGCAAATAAATAATTTACGCAAAATAATATTTGAAACGTTTGTTATGTTTGTAAACGTTGACAAGTTTGTTGGCGTATTGTAAGAATAATTGATGAAATTTTGATAGTTGCGGGGAAAAAAAGCCCGAACGAAATAATTTTTTAATTAAATATTTATTATAATAATAAGACAACTTTTTCGAGAGGAGTGCAATCGTGAGCTGGCAGTTTCAAACAGCTTGGCAAATGTTTGGCTTGTAACCATTTAGAGATATTGATTGGTCTATCGAAGCTCTTTCTAAACAATGTTGCCGTTGGCAAATAAAGATAATGTTTTTAACAGATATTCAATGGGGCATAATTACCTTGAATAAGAAAAAAAAGACGATGGACCATTTAAAATGTTTAAAAAAACGAGAAAAAATTAAAAACCTCTTTAAATATTTATTCCTCTCATTTTTAAAATTTTATCTAACGTTTTTGTTTCTATATGAAGATTTTAAAAAATTTTAAATAAATATGTAAAACAAAGATTTTTATTGCATGGTTCAAACCTAGAAACACAGTTTTCTTAATTTTTTTTTTTTTTTTTTTTTTTTTTTTGAAATGGGAAAGGGGAGGAAGCAGACATGGTTTTAAATAAAATGATTTTCTAAGAACTTTGGACTGACAAACAATAGTATCTCGGGTCAGTCATCTGCGCTGTTTACGCAAACGTCTTGACATACGATGGTTAAGACAGTGTCCCTTACACAGTAGTCCCCCAACAGATTGACTTCATCAGCATTCAGACGTACTTGGAAAAAGGACGTGCCAGATGTTGCGAGAATATGAGACACAAGACTTTCAATTCATATATTGAAAGTTGAACCTTCTAGAAGGAAAAGCTCAGCCTGTGGGTAGAAAAAAAAATCTTCAAATATTGTCTAAAATTGTCCAGCACGTCCATGGACCTGAATTCGTGGGAAGCACTTGCTATTGATCGTACAAGCCGGTGAGGCAGACTCGCTGTTTGGAACACAATCCCCAGAGAGTAATCGCACCACTCACGTCAAAAGAAAGCGAAAATCAAGGAAAATCAGAATCGCTTTCAATTAATCTAAGGACATCAAACACGTGTTATAAATGCAGACAAGCTTTTTGGGCAAAAATAGGATTGGCAAGCCACCTGAGCGCTCACTGTCCAATATAGCCTTGGTCATTTTCGCGTGCGAGGGGACGGACAAGAGTATGAAACGGGAAATTCCAGACACTCAACAAATTCTAACTTGTTGGTTTCAGATTTTAACGCTACAAACATGTCGGACTTTCTTATGACGGGAACAATCAAAGTTGAATGTTTACACGAGTGTTATGATACGATGTGAGTGTACTAGGTAATGAAATACTGACCATTGTTCGCGGTGTCGTGTCCATTCATAGGTAAGAGTAAGACTGCAGGTGTAAAAGTTATAGGTTGCGGTGTCTTATTTGATATAACCTAATTTTCGGCTGATATGTCAACGGGCTTCTTACTAATAACATAATAAACATTAAAAGTAATTTAGAAGAAACTCAATGCCCTAATTTACCTCGCTTGTTATCGTTAAATAGATATTTGCATAAAAAATGTTGTCATAGAATCTGTTCAGAATTAAAATACTCTAAGTAAATCTTTTTGAAAAAATAATCATTATAATAATAATTTCAATCATTTTGTAAAGCTCTTTGTTGTCCGATTGCTGATCTATCACTACTTTGAAGTTCTTGTGTAGAATTGAGAACCTCCCCCACCTTACAAACTACTGGAATTTTTTAACGTTAAAAAGTGAATTTAATTTGATGGCATAAAAAACAACCATCAGTAAGTTGTAAAGTAATTCCAATAATGAACCTTGCAGCGTGCACTGAAATGGTACATTAGGAAATGACGTCGGCGAGCCGTCCAGCTTCATTCCTTAGCTCTTTATGCCCTCCCCAAAGCAACCTTTCCCCACAAACCCGTGCATCGGAGTCGCGAAGCAGCACGTTGGAGATCTCCCTTTGCAGCGTGCACTCAAAGATTTTATTGCCTATGACTGAACAGTGACATAATTATACATGTAATCGGGTACTGTATTATTCCATTTAATCAGGTGAGGTGGAAAAAAACACAGCATTATTCAAGCTACTGCAATGAACACAAACAATAATTCTCTAGATATATTTACGTTTATAACGCTGCGTTCAATAGGCGCGAAAAGTAAAATTCAAAGAAGTTAGCACTAATTCTGATTCTTATCAAGTGCGTCGTTTGAATGCATGTTTTGTCAAGTAACATTAGAATACGGGTAGTTCATGAATTGAGGTCGCCATCGTTTGACTGGTTATTTCTAGTGTTCTAATAATAGCTCAGCGTTATCTCCAGGGCCTAATCATCCTTCAAATCACTTTTTTTTTTCGTAGTTCATTCCTGTTAGTTTGTTTTGGGGGGGGGGGGTGGTGGTGGGGGTGTTCAATTTAAAAAT